CGCCCAAACGCCTTTTTGTGGTCGCGTGGATTGCGTCTGAGATCTATAAACAACCTGCAGGATGATGGACTTCAGAATAGAGAACTCCCTAGCCAGCAGTACCGTAGTCTATAGCCGCAACTCATACTTCAGAAAACAGCAAGAAAAACGGAAGCCAGCTATCGCATTGACAGTCGAGGAAGGAACTGCGACATTATTCAAGGAAGATGTGAAATAATGGACTGCTCACATTATCCGTTTTTGGCAGAGGGTACTGTGCTGGACCCCGTCGAACCGACACGGAGACGTGCCGTGGTGCGGGTCGCTCATCATTTGCTGCTGATGTTGCTGCGTCTCCATGTAGTGTGTTGGGCGGGCGGTGGTTGACAGGAACGAACGCAGAATTCGTAAAGTGCACTAAAAACTGAATATCAACCCATTCTCAAGTAAGCAATTTTCCAATTTCCGACATTTTGCACACGATGATTTGAATGTCTTTCAATATACACAACAAAACATAAATACCCGTGAAAGTTCACATGTATGTATATGTCTTGCTTGCTCGTGTCTTGCTTCTAGATATGTGGTGTACGCATGGCACAATGTGTTTCAGAAACTGCATATAAATATACTAACATCACACGTGTTGTTGGGCATTGTGCATTGGAATCATGTTGTGGAATTTTGAGGCTCTTCACGACATCCAGCAGGCAGCGTGTTGGCGCCTTCTACACGGGGCGGGTTCCGCGGTAAAGACGAAGAGTCTCTCCCGCGGCGAGGAAAACCTCCAATGAAAAAACCGTTTTTGGATTTATTTTATGTCTAAAACGACGTTTAAAAGCATAAAAAAAAAGAGAAACAAAAAAAATGTGATCGGATCACCTGTGGAGGTCAGGATATGGAGATTCAGGGAGCACAGATACACGTACATAAAGTAGGATCTGAGGGAATATGTGATAATCGATTATTACCGTTCTCCGAGGGTCCACAACTCTTGCGATTCCCAACGGCTGCGAAGAGTTGATGAATCTTTTGGAGAAAGAATGGGAAAATGGGTCCACGAAGGCTCGCCCACTCTCCGCATCACCCTAGCTTGACTGAGTTCGCTCGGTCACGATTGGCATTCCTCGCCACTTTGTACGAAAGGAAATAGCCAATCTCCGGTGGCAGGACATAGCCACCACACTCCACGAAGGCTCGCCCACTCTCCGCACCACCCTAGCTTGACTGAGTTCGCTCGGTCACGATTGGCATTCCTCGCCACTTTGTACGAAAGGAAATAGCCAATCTCCGGTGGCAGGACATAGCCACCACACTCCACGAAGGCTCGCCCACTCTCCGCACCACCCTAGCTTGACTGAGTTCGCTCGGTCACGCTTGGCATTCCTCGCCACATGCTACGAAAGGAAATAGTCTAGCCAACCTCCGGTGGCAGGACATTGCCACCACACTCCGGGACTCTCCGCTCACCCAGAGTAAGTAGAGGGCCCCATACACTCTTTTTTTTTTCCACCGCGTTGCCGATTTCGGAGCCTCCATTTCTCCTCGGCAATCGATTCCGCTTGGCCGAATTAGGGGGATTAGAGCCACTTAGAAAGTTGATAAGACATAAACTCCACGTGGGAACCGAGAATCCAAAATCCCAGGAAATTTGAAATTGCTCAGCTACGGTCAGCTTTTGAGCAGCTGAAAGTCCATTGCAAAGCAAAAACTGGGACATTCAATAATAGAAGTATATATTTGTGATCCCCACCCCAAAATTACCCTAATTCGAAGTCAGGAGAGATTGAATCAACATGTAGAGAGTGTTGCGGGAGGGGGAATATTTCCGTGTATTTTCTAGTAATTCCGGGTTATCCTTGCTTTTGCGCATATATATCAGTGCGTCGCTGTATCACGGCCGCATCGATCCTGATCAAGATTCTGACGACGGATTCTTATCTACACTACAACTTTTACCCTGAAAAAACTTTACGATTCGGAGGCGTTTGAATTTTGCTCGGGGGGGTCGCAGACGCGATTTTCGCCCAATTCACCCACTTATTCATCAATAACTCATCACCACGACATCCAATGGGAAAATAAGTATATTTTCGTGATCCACAAGACCTAACGGATGTTGGTACAAAATTTCAGAGGTTGCGACCCATTCCTTGCTGCTCATTGATAAACACGTGAAAAGTATTCGTCGTTAGTCCGGAACCCGCCATGGGCAAAATGTTCTCTGAAGCTCGCATGTAAAATTATAGTACTAAGAGCACAACTGCGCCGTGGCGCGTCGATTGACGACAATGACACAAAATGATAAGGCTACGGTATAGTTGGTCCCGTCTTTGCACCCCTCGCGCGTCACAAGACAAAACGCGTGTACGTACTGCAGACGATTCATAATGTCTGTCTCTCGTGTTCGCCAGACACGGGTGGACAAAGGGTCATGGATCGTACCTGGTACTGCGGTGGCGAGCTCATGTCCTTGTGCAATGGCGTTGTATGGCACAATTCCGTACCGAGTGTACACGCGTGTGGCTGCTGGGCGCTCCCGCCGCTGTTGTCGGTCAGTCAGTCAACACGTGACGGTTTCAGCACCGCACGCCTCGCCGCCATGAATGAAACCCCACAGCTCTACATCTTGTATAATCTAATTGTTTTTGAACAACGATGGAAGTCTACTCTGCAACATGGATCTATGCGCTCATCACGCTCGCTGCACGTGTCGCTGCACAAGGGAGCCTAGCTGCTTGCACGCGCTGTGCTGTGTTGCCTCTTTCGGCTGTCTGACGTACTACAAGGAAGATCCCCGGATCTTCGGTGCTTGATTTCCCGTCAGAAAGCCCTTCCCCCGATGTCGGGCTTGCTCGTCTCACAAGCAAGTTAGGATTGGGATAAAACGAAGAGCCCAAACAACTCCACGTTTCGGAAAGTTAACACAGCAGTCGGGAGTCAGCACGTGTTTGCCTTTATTCTTGGCCCAAGAGGTAAGAACTCGATTGTATGATTGTAGTATTCCCTTTTCGCTCGTTGTTGATCACCGACTTGATTGAATTATTATTAGACACCGAGACCCAATGGCTAGACTAGCTCCTGTGGCCCACTACAGGCGCCGTAGCGCTACACCGATCTATTCCTTGCGGGCGTAGGGTTGTTCGTAACCTCTTCGTCTCTCGAAACGTTGAGTATTGCGGCCACAGTTCTACCTTGAAGCACCCACGGCGGGGGTCTGACTGTTCCTTTTTCATTAAATGGGTTTGTTTGAATATTCTAGTCTACAGTTCGATTATTTTTTTTTCGCTTTCACCAATTTCGCACACGACATTTAATCTAGACTACATCCCACGCTCGTTTCTCCTTCAGAACACCGTTTTGGCTTCTAGCTTTGTATGACAAACGATAGTAGGGCCAGAAAAACTGTACAGCCCACTCTCAGCGTGCCGGCTAGTGCAGGCAGCAAGCTTTACGCGTGCTTATGTGGGGTGCGCTCTCTGCTCTGCCTCAAAACAACGAATTGGGAAGATCTATTGGCCGAATTGCTGCAGTGGCGTCCCCTGTGCCTGTCTTATTCGCAGCAGAAAAAAGTCTCTCGTGGAGGTGCTCTGAACCGATCAATAGCAGCAGCAGCGGCTGTACACTTGAACACTTATACAACAGCTCTCACCCATTGCAACCGCTTTCGGTAGAGAAACAAGAACGACCCACCTGTGACCAAGTAATGGCGTGCTTGAAATACGTCCACGACGGAGCAAACCTCTTACTCATAGTTCACAAGCACCGAGAATCCAGAGGATTCCTCGCACACAGCTGTCAATGACGGACCCATTTTTTTCTGTCCTCCAGCTGTACACTGCTGTCAGACAACACACATCAAACGTACCAGGGGGCAATCTAAATGACATTTCGCATCGTATGCTGCTGCAACATCATTTTAAATACGAGACTCACCCTGTTTACGCTATCCTGTACTTCGTGGAAATGTTGCATTCATTCATTGTTTGCGTAGGCGACGGTGACGTGATGTCACCATGGTCTTGTTTGGAGGACGCAACAACAGAACCGCATGTCGTCTGGTTGGTATGTACTTGCTGCAGACAGGACGATGGACGTATGTTTTGTACGTAGTATTTCTAAACAAACAAAATATAATGACTTGTCCAGGCTAAATAGTGACGGAATGGCAGGCTGGCGTTGAAGTAGTGCCTGCGACCATGAGGACTAGACTATGGGATATATTGAAGTACGTTAAACTCGCAAGGTCCCGAACTTGTGCGTATGCTGTGGACGTTGCTTATTATTGCCGCTACGCCACGAATGAGGGGGAACGATGCCTGATCTGCTAGTGAGTAAAGAAACGGTCGTGCTCGTAAAACTCGCGAAACGGAAAACGTGCTTCTTGTTCCTACGACTACCTTCTTGTTCCTACGACTACCGACCGTTCTCGCACCAAAAATCCACCCATTTCAGTTTCACCTCTCGTCTCATCAAGCCTCAACCGAACAATCGTCAGCGGCGTTCCCTCGGGACACACACGCAGTGAGGAAGACCGCGACCCATTTTCCCACCCACGTGACATTTCGCTTGCACACATTGATCGCCAAGTCTGGTGCTTTTTGACGAAGAAAGCGTCTCGGGCTGCAGGCAGGATGGTCTCAAAGAAGCGAAGAGTTTCTGCGGGCGCACGCACATAACTAGCCCTGCTTATTCGAAGCATGCTTGTGGGCATGCATCAAACAACCAAAGGTGTCTTGGGACTTGAGGACTTTTTCTTCACCGATTATTGCCCCTGGTGTTGGAAACCTGTTTAATAAGAGCAACACACACGGTATAAAGTCGAGGTATACCGAAAGTTTAGCCTTTCACCGCTGGTCGCTGCTTGCTGCTTCTGTGTTTTGGAAGCATAGACTATTTATATTTCTCCCATCATTGGACTCTGTCGTCTGCCTCTCTGGCCCCTATCCTCCACTTCTACCAGCTAGACGACCCAACCGGGGTCACATAGGAGGGGGGGGTTGGACCCCCTCCTGCGGTTAATGTGTGGCCAAGACTGCCAAACGTCCCTCTGGGGGGGGACCGGGATCTCCACGGTTGGTGCGGATGGTGGTTGTAGGTGTGCCTGCGGAGACGAAACATGGTCAGAGTACAACATTCTTGGGCTGCCATCCTGTGTTCCGTCGAAGGCACACGCGGTCTTCGGCGCAGTTGGAGTGTTCGTGACGATGACAAGCCTGGGCCATGCAGCATATCAGCTCTATCGCCAGGTGGATGGCCATAGCCAATAAGTTCCCATTGCACAAGGCATGAATTCACATATGAACGCATATCACGAGAAAGACATGGTGGGTCCGCCTCAGGTACCACGTCGACGTTGGGCCATGGTTGATTGTTTGTTCGTTCCTGTTGGTGCCATGTACAACGGTGCCCCCTTTGTTTGTTGAGCACACATACCGTAGTATCAAAAAGGACTCCCCAACCGAAAGAAGAGGGGGGTGTTTGAGGTTTTGAGGCGCTGCTGGATGCTGGACTAACTGGAGTTTTTCAGAGTCGACGCATAACTCTGGTCATGATGGCAGGTAGGAGCCCCCCCCCCTTGCAGAAATTATCGGGAAATGTAGAAGTGTAGTGATGTCCATAGCTCACTTTAGATGTCAGATGCTTTGAACATTATTCGACACCACCGCACCCCTGAGGCCATGTTGCGTGCGCTTTTGACTATATCGGAGGGTTTTTCAGATTGATCGATACACGCAACTCACTTCGTTACCCTGCCATTCCGTGTGTGTTCGGTCGAGAGTCCCCCTTACATCCTTCTCTCGGGATTGAATCCCCAGCGTGCATTGCCCTAAATTATCGCACAACGAATTGACCGCAAGAGGTACGGGGTTTGACTTTTGTATTCGATGAGTTTTCGCGTCGGTCGAGAGGACGAAGAAACCTCTATGTAGCCAAACCCGCATGCTCCCACCGCACCCCCCAGCGTCAACTCACTTGCGGGTATCTCTGCAACTGTATCACTCACCACTGAATTTTGGGGGGAGTGAGAAAACACTCGAAAGTGTGACATTTACGTGTTGTTTGTGCTTTTGCCAAAGTAGTAAGCTGGCTAGATTGTGTGAACCTGAAAGTGCTCCGCCACCTCATCTAACCTCATGTATATGCCAGGACAACAAGATGAATGTTCTCCCTCGCCCCGTCCACGAACAGGTCAAATATCACAGACAGTTCATGGCGGCATCCACTTCCTCGGTGGAGAAATGTCGTCGATGGCTTCATATCGTCGTGATTATCCACGCCGTTATCGGCCTATGCTATTTTGGAATGGTGTTGTTGCTGGACAGCGAACGACTGTGGATGTCGACCATCTTCATGTTCGGCATAGGCCAAATCATGATGACCATCGGTGGTATTTTGACCGTGCGCATGTGGCTTTACTGGTGAGTGCCGTGTAGCAAAAGTCACCCTGGTTCTCAGGTTATCAAATTGTTTGTTTCATTAAGTGAAGATTTTGTCAAGGGTCCATTCCAGCTATCCCCCCTCCTCCATGCCTGAAGTAGGCGTTTTCGCACACGCACCTTTTCCTTCCACCGGACAGCTTGTGAAAAGGTGTTTCTAGTCGTCCCCTCCCTCGTTTCTACATCCAGTATCAACCATGTGTCGTCCGAATGACGACCTACGATTGATGTGATTCGTCTCCCAGTTTGACATCGGACGAGCAGCGCTCCCCTTTACAGCTGAATCGTTTCCCATACGTTTCCCCTCTTCGCAACCACATACTCTTTCTTGCTAGCAACGATCCCCGGCTGATTCGAGAGACACCGGAACTACTGATGATATCGGAAGCGCTAGAACGGCCGACGGGGTTGTTTGTGTCCAATACCGTGATGTGTGTAGGCCCTGCGGTTGCAACCGTCCTAGCAGCGGCTAAGAGTTTGCAAGCGGCCTGCATGGTCTCCGCGGTAGCGTTTCTGGGTCTGATCGTATTCTGCGACTTCATCATCTTGAAGACCGCTACTGCCCTTTTGCAAACAGTGAACAAGTATTTGCGGAACAGCGTGGTGCGTTCCGAGAAGAGTAACAGCATAATGGCAGGAACGGTAGGATCGCTACAGCTCTTGAAGGCAGCGAGGAAGAATATCAAGTTTGCGTTGTATTTTTGCGTCGTTGTGTCCCTGTTGACCTTTTCAATTGTCATGATCGGCCTTTTCACGACCTATGGAGCGACAGCACCGTTGATCTTTTCCGGCATTCCGTATGGATGCTCACCGCCCGTATGGTTCGTTTTCAACATCCAGCTGCACGCTGGGAGGAGCAGGAATCGTACCGAACCCGATGTCGTTTCACGCGCTAGCAGCGTAATTCGGCAAGTGCCCAGTGTCGCAACTAGAATCGTGTCTAGGGCCAAAGGAGTTGTGTTTGGTAATGAGCGGTCTGTCGTTCCGACTTTGACCCCCACGCCCTAGTTCATTGATTGAACCCTCAATGTCTCTCTGTTTGTCACGTTTTACCGACGATAGCGACGTGATTGCACACCATGATCAAACCCCGGCGTTCTGCCGTATGGACTGCATGTGATGTAGAATTGGTGCAAGGTCATGAAGATTTGTTTACCGTCACAACACGGTTGGAGTGGAAAACGTGCTGGGTCTTCGCCCGGCACGTGCCCTGGGTGTGTTCCTTTACGCCAGGGTCAGAAGAGAGGGGTGGGTGCGTGCGTTCGTCGTCTATTGGGGAGAGAGAGTAAAATATAGATAGATAGGCGCAGGACGCTCCACCCGCCCGTAAGCCTCCAGCCCTGCTCGCAGTGTCTGACGTCCTCGTGCTGTTTCTCCGTATCGGCCAGTTGGACGGTGGAGACTTCAGAGCGCTCCCGAGGTTTCAATCGTGCTCGAATCACTCGAAGCAGCACTGCAAACTGGAGGCGGAATATTTAGTTACCGGACATTTACTTTCTGCTCTCTCTCCCGCAATCATGTATGTATGTGTGCCCATCACACAACAATCGAAACCTGCTTTTCCTGTGATCCGAGGTTTCGCAAGTGAAAACACGGTTGTTACGTGATTTATGAGAGCCTCGTCGGAAACCGTGCTCGAGAGAAGGCAAAGAGCATCGCCAGTAGGCCACATCAAACACGCAAAGTTAGGACCCTCGATCAACATTGCATTTAATTAGTCAATGTTTTCCCCACAGCCAGCCTGGGCTGCTACAAGCGGGGCAACGGGCTAACGTGCGAGAGGGGGTACGCCGTGGCACAAACCGAACTTGAATGCATTTTGTGCCGTCCCGTGCTTGATCGAAAGACGCCCATGGGATGTTTGGTATTTGGGGACTCCCCTCCTCCTCTACAAAGCTCAGGCGAACGATCCTCCGACTTGCGCGTGGCTTACACAAGGTGGCGTGCTTCTACCTCATGCCAAGATGATGATGCGTAAGGGGTTCACAAGAACTCCGCTCGTGAGATCCCAAAAAAGTTAGGAGCTTCATATCTGAGCGGATCTACGTCATCATTGAAACGTGAAGGATATATTATGTTGTCTAACCGAACAAGGTGCAACACGACACGCAATTCCCGTAGGCAAGGCAGTTAAACGGTAAAACTTCAAAATTGCCAAAGATGTCGCAAAAAATGAAAAATCCACGAGTTTTCTACATGTAATCATAATACAATTCCTCCTACCGTGGCGCGACTCTTTCGTGTGCCACGGCACATTGTACAATCAACACGCAGGCAGGGGCAAAGCCGCCAATCGTGCTACCCTTGCCTAACGTTTTAGTTTCGAAGCGAGGTGTACGCCAAGTCATCGTCTACTTGTCTTGCACGCTGCTCATGAAGTCGATCTACCCTGCCCAGTCGTCCTTCTACAGGAGAAAAAGCAAGAATTAAAAAGAGGTCATATATCCTTTTTTCTGAGTGCTATGTGGGGCGGTACGTTGTAGGCAGCGCATGTCAACAACGAAATACGAGAATGAATGAATGTTAACGGCCAACACACAAATAACTATAGCAAAAGAGGGACAAGTTCGGTCCTGGATGAAACAACGGGTGGGTTGAATTCCCAGCAGCAGCAGTCGGATGTTGAAATCTGGGACAAAAGAAGCACCACAACGTCGAGCCTGACCAACGGCTATGGTAGTCGGACGCTTCCTGCAACCAAAAAAGTCGAGGCTGACCGCGAAGACACCAAGAGCGAAAGATTCGGACGCAACGTGATCTTCAAGACGCTGTGATCTTGTGCTTCGTAAAAAAGAAAAGAGAGGAAACCGCCGAACCTGGTATTAAGGTGGTGAATTATTGTCCTTGCGCATTGACGTCAAAGCACGACTCTTTACCGATGTAGATCGTTTGGCTGCGCGCTCTCGCTGTTGATATTGTCGCCCAGTCGGCCAACACTTCGACGGTTTCAGCACCACACGCCTCGCGGCCAAGAATGAAAACCCCACAGCGCTGTGACGTGGTATCGGTCGGTGGTGAGACCTTCGCGCGTAGGTATGTATGTATGTATGTAGACATGTGCCAGTGCGGTTGTGTGTGTGTGGTCTCCAAGATGTCTGCGATCAAAGCGTGTTTCTTCGGCCTTCTTGGGCTAAGGGAGCAGCAGGGAATTCGAACACTGAGCAGCATGCGTCACCTCTCTCTCTCTCTCTCCCCCAACCCCCAAATACCTATAATTCCCCAATTAAACTAACTATTCAACCTAAACTTCAACCTCCTCAATGTCCTTCACTCCTAGTCGCCACCTCATACACTTTCCATGCCCTTTTTTGACGATATATCAACCAAAATTAAACCCAGACTTGCGCACAGAGCTACACACTCTCAAAGTCATTTCCATCACGCCACGAATTACATACTACGATGAAACTACCCCAGGTCTTCTTTCACATACTAAAACTAGGGTTGACGTATTGCAGACGTTCCCCCCCCCCGACCTATAAACGAATATCCGTCCTTTTCTTAATCACGCAAAATACCAACTCGTGTACTTCACCCTTCAATTCCGCATTGATCGTGTACCATTGCAATATTACCTCATCGATAGATACCTTCAACAACACCGACATTGTCTTCATCAAGTTGCACTCCCTACCAACCACCCACGCCACTGCTTAGTTCTCGGCACAACACCACCTTTGACGACTAGTCACCGTTCCCACAACAATGCGTCTTTCAAATGCTACGCTCAACATCGCAACAACATTGTTTGACTAGGACCAACTGTTTGCTATTCACTTCTTCCTACACGTCCTCAGCCGTGAGATGGAACGGGGGCGCTAACTCTAAAAATAGATTAAATCATGTTCTTGCTGAAGCCCTACGGCAAACACCTAGGCCTGTCCGCCTTCTCGTGCGGAGTATTGCACTTCATACACCGATACACCGAAACTCTCGAGTTGATATTTCGTGTTTCCGTGGTTTATCCTTGTTGACGTCTTAACAACAATACTTCAAACCTACTTCTTTCTCATCAGGACCCATCCCTGGACCCACGATCAACACCTGGTATAGCCCTGTCCAACTATGTGCCAACTTCGGAATCGAAGCCAACGAATTGTCTCTTTACCCCTACTGTTCGCTCGGGATTGAAGCACGTGTTCCCCCCCACCAGAAATCGTACTCTTCTCATCATACACCAGAACCCAGTCCCCTATATTACTTCGGCCTCTTCCCCACAATCGATTCAACACCTCATCATTCTCTTCATGCTTAGCCTTTCTTATACTGTCCTTCTCTCTCATTAATTCGTACCACGGTATGCCTTTTCTCTGCTTATCCCGCATCAAATTCAAATAGTCAAGCTGGTCTCGTTTGAGACCTTGGGTTCCCGTAACATCTCTTCCCTCTAAGATTCTCATTGGCAACATCGGATGCCTCCCAATACGTACCACGTCAGGCGCCAACCCCGCCCCCCTACTCGCAGTTGTTGTGAGCTGCTGTCGCGTGCGGCGGCATTTCATCCCAGGTCGCTTGATCATCAGAAAACAAGTGCGGCAACATCTTGACACAGTGAATGATTCAGCCGTTCCACCATCCCATTCTCTGAGGATGACGTCAGCTAGTCAACCCTTTCACCGTTCCCAACATCTTATGCACACTTTTCGCTACCTCACTCAAACTCTAGGCCCTGATCAGACAACAGGGTGTGCGGACAACCTCACCTCCCAAAATAATCCTTCACCATGATCGAACTCAAAAGCCCTGCGCATTATTCTTCGCCTTTCGGTAACGGATACCCTTCCGCGCACTACCAAAAACAAAGAAGTCATTTTTCGTTTTAGACAATGTAGCCAAATAGTGAAACGACACCATCTGCCCCGGCCTACTCGGAAGCGGCAAAGACACAATGGTCACCATCTTGTATGCCGCGACACCTTCCGGAATTGACAAGAATAACATCTACGGGTCCACTACCGTACGCTTTCCGCGATCCCTACCCACCAATACACCCTTTGCAATATACTCAGCGTCACCTTTTCCCCCAGATGCACCGCTTCCTGATGGGCACAATCCATGACCCACGGTCTCAACACCCTGGGAACATACGTCCGAACGGGCTCATCACCTACAGCCTCTCAAATTGTCCTGGACTTTATCCGGATTCTCTGCAGGAGCTTTAGATTCCCGTCTCATCGATAAATGCTTCGAATTCGGTAATACCAACAGAGTAAGTACCCTGTGCCAACGATTCAACTCATCGATGTCTATGTCTACACGTCCCAGAAACTCCTTCTTTCTCATTCTCTTTTGGATCGGCATGTATCTCAATGCCCGTAGTTGCAAATCTTGCGGTATCATCTTCCTCTTTAATATTCGCCCAATCACTAGCCGACCTTTTCGCACAAATTCTCCCCAGATTCAATTGGAGTTTGTTCTTCCATCGTATTCTTGCAAACGTTGAGGCAATGGAGGTGCTACAGGACCACTGCCCCAAGAGCCCCTACCCCTACCAGCAGCAGCAGCAGCCCCTCTTCGTCGACCCACACCACCTCTACCCCTACCACAAGCAACAACCCCACTCCAACGAGCAACTGCCGCTACCATCACCACCAGCGGCAGTCCCACTCCCACGAGCACTGCTGCCGCTACCACTACCGGAGGTACTGCCCCCTCCTAGAGAAAAAGCACACACTCGCGGTTTTCTCTTTAATCCTATCAAGCGTTTGCCAACTTCCGTTAAAGGAACAGCATGTAATATCAGCCCTGGCTCAAACTGACCACTGACCACTTCCCCATTCGGTTCCACCAACCGGGTGTCATCAGGCACACACGCACCATCAGGCAAAGGGTTGGACACGCCCATCAGCGCCCACGTCTTGCCTGCCAGTTCTTGCCGATGTACAGCCACTTTCCCCCACCACAAAATCATCGCGATGGTTCAACCCAGCGAGCGCCTCTAGCTCGGTGTACACCGGACCCAATCGCGAAGGTAGCACCCCGCTCGAACCTATCATATAAACATCGAG